TGTAAGCAATTGATGGATAACATTTACAGTTATATACCATTTTCTTATACATACTTAATTTTTATCAACATACATAATATTGGGTTTTGGCATTACAGACCGTTCACCAGAGAAGGTTGCATCTAATACAAAAGATAAGCAGAGTACTTCTTGCTCAGAAAATAAGAATATTACAACCTACAAAAAATTTGCAAATTGGGAGTAAATTTACCATCTGTTTCATGAACATCTTCATCTTCCTCTGAATCTGAACCAGAAGATGCCTGCATATCATCATCATTGTTGTCATCACCATCATCTTCAGCCTCTAAATCTGAATCCTATAATGGAAGAATATGCATAGAACCTGAGTAATATTAAAGAAGATCATGGACGCTCAATGTATACACATTTCTGGTTTCCACTACTTACACTGTTCATAACCTGAAAGGTGAAGAGGATATGACAACTAGTAGAAGTAGTAAAAGTTATAACATCTATTATGCATTTAACGAGAATCCACATGATGGTACAGTCCACAAAAACAAAAATTTAGTGTTTAGTATCAGTGAATCATGAGCAAGTAACCCACGAGGATCAGACATGAAAAAACAAGAAATATAAAAGCACATTAGATTATTTATATTTAATAGTCACTGAAGTTATCTTATATCTCTATTAAGCCATGTGAGTAATAACATGAACATGCAAACACCAAAATAACGAACACATCAAAGCTGTTTAATGTGCATGAGCCTCCACAAGTGAACTTCAGTATCTGCCTGTAACATCACACACACACAAACACAAACAAAATATTTTTTCTTCTCCAAATCATGGTTCTATTCAACAGAGATAATGAGTTTAGCTTTGTTCACCTCCATATCGTTATGATCAAGGTCATTTCCAAAGATAACTTTTCTCCTTGACCTTCCACCATGAAACTCCACATGTTCCTTCAAGTGATCTTTAAGATTAGCATCTTGATCAGACACATCTTTATGAGCTGCTTCATTCTTATCTGAAGATTCTGATTCTGAACCGTCAGAATCCTCCGCATTGCTTTCTTTAGCACAACCATCACCTTTGATTGCTTCCCCAGACTGATATTCCTCTAAGGGCTCTATCATACGGATCTCTTCTCTAGATTCATAGGTATCTTTTCCATCACTTTGAGCATTTGACAATAAATTAGGCTTCCGACTAAATAGATTAATGAAGCTCTCCTCTAACTTTTCATCAACTGAATATTTTGTGTTCTGAAGAGATTTTACCAAAGCCACACCCACATCTTGGTGCTTTCCTGTTACACGGGAACATGAGTATCAAGTTTTGAAATTGGTGGCAGTTGCAAAATAGAACCTTTTCCTACATAAGGAAAACTCAAAGATGTCTAAGAGATTGATCTGCTTCAAAAAAAAAATTATTTGTAACAGATAAACAACATGGAATTAAACTAAATGAATGTATACTTTCAAATGCTCACCCACACATACAAGTATGAATAAGAAAACAAATTTTTAAAATTATAAAATTAAAAATAAATAATAATAAATTGGACCTTCATTTGTTGCTTCGCCCTTTTCATCAACGTTGGAAAACTGGACAAAGTGGTCATTTATGTTTATGTAGACAGCATCTTTATCATACAGGAGATCCCCAAGTCCAGACATGGGTGCGTAAAACAGTTTTTCCTTATCACGCAGTCCCTTCTTTTTGGCAGCTGAGGGTAAAGGGCAAGGATCAGCTAAGCCTGTCATACCAGCTAAACTGTAATCCCCAACACCTGCAATATGAATCTGATACACAACGTAAATCAGGCAACAATATATCATTTAATAATAAACATCAAGATAATGCATCTATGAATCATATAATCCAATGTATTCTTTCTTCTTTATTTTAGCAGAGAGGGGACTATTACAGAAGCAGCACCAAGTTACCAACCCGAAAATGTGAGTCATCTTAACTGCTAAATTTGAAGGAGCTTTTCACTTAAAGATCGGCTTCTAAAAGTCACGACAAAGCCTAATTTGTTAGAAGGATGTCAAAGCTTTCCTCTCTTTCCACATGCTGAGAGTATTATTCCACAGGAAATGTAAGCATTGACTTAATAGTTTAAATTATTTTGGGCCTCTAGACCCATTGCCAATTGGTTCTAGGTTGGATGCTCCCATTCTAAAATGGTTTCCTTTTTTCATCCTTCATGGATTGTTCTTTACATCTTTAATTTGCTATTACAATTATATATAATTAACCCATTATTGATGTCACAATTTCACATTTTTTTTATTCAAACTTGTTTATTTATTTATATGTTCTCCGAAATATATTCAACTGAAAATTTTCTTAGGATGCTTTGATAACAAGAAGACATATATATTGGGGACAACTGTACGTGTACTGCATGAAAATTACTATGAATCAATTACCCTTAAGTTTTTAACTCTTTTGTCGTACATTTTTTTAATCTAATTTTATTGTTTGGAGTTGCCCACTAAAAGAATTTTCTGGCTTCATCCCTGCATTTGGAATTCATGGGGAGCATTAAAGGAACTCTCCGTACATAGACCTGAGTTATGGTATTTTCTTCCAATTAAACTCATTTGTAATACATAAATTTCTAAAGGCAATAAGACAAGAACTTTATAAGTCAAACACGTACCTTTGTTCCTTTTTTCATGTTACAGCCCCGCAAATAACCATACAGTGTGACATTTCTATCACATTTATTATTCAAACGCACTTTTTCAGGAGGAGTCACATCTTCAAAACGATCTACTAAAACATATGGATGAGCAGTTCGCCAAGATAAAGGATGAAACTTCATAACAGATATGAAACGTGCCAGATTGTGAATTTCACGTTTGACATACCTGTTCATCAAACCAGGGGGAATATAGTTAATAAAATAAAAATTCAACTCATAATAGTTGTCAACTTTCACAAGGGACTGCATCATCCGGTGCAGAAAGTGGCTACTTACTTTCCATGAATGAGACCAGATAAATAAAACAATTTAGCTCCATCATATATTTCAGTCCAGAAACGATGTTTGAGGTGTTGCTTTGTTTTCTTCAATTTCTTTACATCTTTAAACTTATCAAGGTGAGTAAGAACTCCCATAACCTTTGGGAACCCATGAACTTGCAATATATTCAGGAATTCAAATGTCTCCTGTAAAAGGAAATTAAGGCAATACAATATTATAATATAAATTTATTGACATCATATTGATGAAAAATGGGATCAGACCAATAAATCCTTGAAAAAGAAATCAGACCAATAAAGAATGTATCAAGAAATCTGGAACATCCACCAAATAAATATTCGAGCAGAGTCATCTCCTGATACATAATAATGAAATCTATGAGTGTGGGTGTTGTGCCTGCACACGAGCATGTGTGTTTGTTTGATATGTATGACAGGAGTTAAATTCATAGACATTTTTAACAAACAAACGGGTACAACATTTTGTTAGCGTCAGGATTTCCATTGAAGTTTAAGCCATCCACGTGGAAACAGTAGAAGAAAAAATAACAAAATTAATTGTCTCAAGTCTCACCATTTCAAAACCGTAGCTTCCATCTATGAGAAGCAATGCTAAATCAGCAAACTTTGCAGCATCAATCATACCATTGATATCATTTGGGCACTCCACAAACTGTACCCGCCTTTGCTTCCCTAACACAAGCAATCAATCAAGCATTTAACGAACAGTGCTCAACCTAATATTAAATTAAATCAAATTATTGCAATATCAGAAAAACATGAAGCATGGCACCTGAAACAATGGTAATCGGGCCTCGAACCTCTGGTAAATTATGTTTGGTATAATGCTTTACAAGCGACTTAATTAACAAAGACTTGCCAACCTAGAAATCAACAATAAGGAATTGAACAAAAAAAATATTAGTGTGAACAAATTAACAACAGTTTGAGTGAGTAGCAGGTAAGTAATTCCACTGATTAGATATACTATATATACCTTGGGAGGTCCATGCACCAGAACAACATATGGAGGTTGTTCGCCATAGGAACGATCAATGGTTGGGACATGAAGCCTGCGCTGCTCTTTCTCGACCGAGCGAGATTGAAGACGCTTGGCTTTCACAGTTGAGCTAAAAGCAAATGCTTTAGGGTTTTGCTTCTTCCCATTTTGGGAAGTGTCACGCTTCTTCTTGTCAGCCTTGGCCCCCGACTGCCTGGACCGATGTTCCTTGTGCGACTGCTCCTTGGTTCCGCTATCTATCGCCATGGTAGCCTAACTGAGAAACCCTAGCAGCACTGCTTGTATGCTTTGAGCTGCGAATGGCGGGGCTGTGCACAGGGCAGGCTGGGTGCTTGCCCAGCCCAAAAATTTTCAAAAAAAAAAAAAAAAAAAAAAACCTACATGGGTTATAAGCCCAGCCCAAAAATTAAAAAAATAGGGAGTTTCACTAAAACACCCAAAATGGAGGTTGAAATTATAAAAAAACCCAACACCCAAAACACTTTATAAACACACCCAAAACCCATCATTACACACACTTAAAACCCATTTATAAACACACCCAAAAAGTTGACTTTGGGGTTGATTTTGGATGTGTTTCTATGTTTAAATAGTGCTTGGGTTTTTTTATAAATACATGTCTAGGATTGGGTTTATTTATAAATCTGTATAAAAAATATTAAAAACAAACCTACCCATATATTGCCCATCCATGTGGTCCTATGCTATGTTGCACGGACACGGGTACGGGGACACGGGAACGCGACACGGCGACACGGCGACATGGAAAATCTCAAAAAATTAGAACACAGACATGGCTAGGACACGACAATTAAAATAATAATTAATTCTCAATACTAAAAATTTCACATAATTCCATAAAACAAAATAAATAACTCATGTTCTTCATCATCCATACATAATAATTAATACATCACAAAATAAAAAACTCGTGTTCATCATCCATACATAATAATTAATACATCACAAAATAAAAAACTCGTGTTCATCATCCATACATAATAATTAATACATCACAAAATAAAAAACTCGTGTTCATCATCCATACATAATAATTAATACATCACAAAATAAAACATAAATGATCTAATTCTCAATCTTCTTCAAGCATCTATGTCTTCATTGTTGTTATTTGAAAACAACACGCCCTCTAATTCCAGTTCATCAAGTGAAAGGTTTGCAATTTCAAGCACAAACGCATTTTCCAAGTTTATAGTATCAAATCCATCCTCACCAACATCCCACATCTTACTCTCACCTTCTGTGTAATTAGACATCTTCCTTGATAGAAGCGGAGATTATTATGCACGAACACCAAGTCTTCGGCTCTTTGTGGTGCTATCTTGTTCCTCCTAAAAGAATGTACAAAATTATATGTACTCCAATTTCTTTCACAACAAGAGGAGGAACAAGGTTGACCAAGTAACCGCAAAGCCAAACTTTGAATGATTGGAGAAAAAGCTCCATAAACAATCCACCATTTCACCGGTTGCATACGACCTCTGTCAATTAAAGAATCCGCATTTGAAAAATGGTCAATTCCACCTGAAAAAGCGGCATACTCTTCTCTAGCATGCATTCTATCCAAATCATTAGGAAAGAGTCGCTCAAAGCATTTTTGCCTTTGTAATGTAATGTCTTGATCTTGATGCGGAGCAACACGATTTGAAACAAGTCATTCGGTAGTATAATACCTAAAAGTGATGAAATAATATAAATTAAAACATTATATGACTAAACTAACAAAATGAATTTACTAAAAACTTTAAAGAAAGTTACCTTGGATTTAAAGAATGTGCAAGGCAATGGAGTGGAGTGTTGCTTTTGGTCCATCTTTGCAATAAAACCTCATGCACCGCATTAAAAAATTCCGAATCTTCATAAAGTTGCTTGCCTTCTTTTTTATAAATAGCCACCTTCACATCTCTTATCATAGAATCCCATCATTCATAAACCAAGTGAAGACAAGGCATATCCGTGTCACACTTTCTAAGCATGTCATAAATTGGAGATGTAAAACTAAGTATGTAATCAATTTTAGACCAAAGTACATCATCTAATATTTTCTCTTTGATAGATTTTGCTTTTTCAACATTATCTTCTTGATATGCATCCCATTCCTCACTAACCACCATTCTTTGTAATTCAACCTTTATTTCCCTATATCTCCTCATCATCACAATTATGGAAGCAAAGCGAGTATCGGCAATTGAAAGAAACTTCAACTTTGAATGATGATTAAACATAGCCAATCTCATTTGGTGGTTCATGATATAGTTTTTCACGGCACAACACTCATCCGCAACATCACTAATCCAAATGCATTGACTCCACACATCATTATTAGGACTTGTCTTTGGTGTGCAAATGTTCTTCAAAGCAAGGTTTAGTGTGTGCACAACACATGGAGTCCAAAAAATGTGACTATATTTGGCCTCAATAATTTGCCCCGCCGCTCTTGCATTGTCGGTAATTATTTGAACCACATTTTGAGGACCAAATTCAAACATACTCAACTATACAATCGTACAAAGATACAATACAATCATACAAATTCAAAAATAAAAAAACAAACACAGATACAATACAATCATACAAATTCAAAAATAAAAACACAAACACATATACAATACAATCATACAAAGATACCCATAAAAAAAAACAGAGAAACATAGAAACAAAATAAAACATGGTTCACATTCATTATATCTAATACCCAATTAATAAAAAAATTGTAAAGCCTAACCTGAGTTTGCAATTGCAAAAAATAATCTTCCTTCCACAATTTCTGTCGTGTGTCTCTTTAAAAAACAGAAGAAAGAATCGTCCTTCTATTGCTGTGGAGGGAGATAAGAAAATAAAATGGTTAACATAAATAAATGCATTTGAAAATAGACAAAAGAAAGAAAAAACATTACAAAGAGAATACTGTATACCTTGTGCTGTGCAAAACCAGAGAAGGGGAAATCGAACTTGCTGTCTCACTATGCTCGCAACGAGTTCAATGCACACTCCAAGGCCACAATTGGGGTGGAGTTTCAGACACAGAGCATGGATATCAATGGCAAAGAGGTCAAGGCTCAGATTTGGGAGAGGAGATGTGCGCTGCGCAGAGTAGGAAACAAAATGAGAGTGCGTGCTGTGCTGTGCTGAAAGGTGTGATTTAGCATTTAGGTTTACAAAATTTCGTTTCTCACTTTTAACCCCATTTTTTAAAAATCTTTTCAATCAATCCACCAAAGTATTACAAATCATGTTTAGACCCCTGATTTTATTTTTCAAATTTCAAACTGGTCCCTGCCGTGTCTTAACCGTGTCGGAGCCGTGTCTTGACCGTGTCCCAACCGTGTCTTGACCGTGTCCCAGCCGTTGACCGTGTTAGAGGCGTGTCAGCGTGTCGGCGTGTCAGCATGTCGGCGTGTCCGACACTCCGACACTCCAGCAGATTGAAGTGTCCGTGCAACATAGGTCCTATGATTCTTTTCTCTCCTTCTCTTTGGCTATTAGGCCATCTCTAACCCAAATGGGGCAATTCGAATTTCTCCCCTTCAAAATACAATTATTCATGTATTGACCGGACTCAAAAAGTTTTTTTCTCCAACCATGCAGACTCATAATTTGAGTTCGCAACTTTATTAAATTGTTTAAAAAGGTTAATCCTTAATTTTTTTTTTCTCGTTAATTTTTCTCAGCATTATTTTTGTTTCAACTTTGATAAATTAATTTTCTGAATATTTTAATCTAAAAAATCCAAAACATAATATGATTTTCTGAAGATTGTTTTTTATAGTTGGATTTGCTCATATTAAATCTTAGCCGTTAGATATTATATAACCTTTGAAATTAAATTGGAAAGGAAAAAGAAACAGTAGTTTGAAGGAACCCATTGGATTCCTACAACCCTTCATCCCAGCACGCCATGTGTCCTGACAACGCGAGCCCCTTGTTGTAGGTGCTTCACATGGGCTGCATCATATATTGGTGTCAATTCCACTAAATTATCAATCCGACTGAAACACAGGCTGCTATTTGGCCCCAAAAATCAGTTTGTGGAAATTTTAGCCTACTCCTATACAAGGGTTGGAGAGGCTTTCGGCTAAATTTTGAATTTTGCTAGGGTGGGTTGGAGATGGCCTCAAACTTCTTATCTCTCTCTCTCTCTCTCTCTCTCTCTCTCTCTCTCTCTCTCTCTCTCTCTTTGCTACCAGACAGTAGCAAGTTTCTCACTTTTTTTTTTTTTTGGGGTCAAATTCTCCCTTTATTGGCTACATCTTCTATTATCATGGGTGGGCAACTTAGCAACAACATCTTCTCCTCTTATTTTGTCACCAACAAGGTATTATTCTCATTATCTCATTTGTTATATATCTTTAATTATAGTTTTTATTTAAAATTGAGTATTCTAGTGTTTAATTAGGGATGAATTATAATTTTGAGATTTTGTTTAAATTAATGGTAAACTGCCGAATACCCCCCTGAACTATATCGACTGTCGAAATGTCCACCCTGAATTATTTTTTCAGCCAATTTAGCCATCGAATTATTTTAAATGGTCAATTTAGCCCTTGTCGTCAACTTTTTAGACTTCCATCCAATTTTCTGTTAATTATAAGGGTAAGTTTGTCATTTTACAAGAACAATACCAAAAATCTTTCTTTAAAAAAAATATATATATTCTTTTTCCTTTTCCTTCTTCTTCCTCTCTCTCTCTCTCTCTCTTCTTTCTTCTATCCTTCCTATGGAAACCTAGTCCATAACTTCTCTTTGGGATTGAAATTACTGGGTTTAAGATCTCTCACTATCGAAGTATGCTTCCCAATACAGTATCTAAAAACCAAAAACACCACAACATCAAACACCAACCTCTATTGATAAAGAAAACCCTTAAGCAAAAAATCACTCCACGACTTGTAAAATTGAAAAATCAGAAAAAGTACCTAATACCCAATTGAAGATTGAGCATCAAATAGCAGTTCTAATGCCCTTTTAATATGGTATGGCCAGGCATCTTGGGCTCGCCAGAAACCTGTGCCACTGTAGAACATCGAAGCCTCCACATCATCGATAATGTCACAAGTAAATATCCTCAGCTTCCCCATCAGATTCCCATATACAAATCTTGGGAAAAGTCTTATTTACCAAGCTCCCTCTAGCCTCATCCATTCGTAATCATCAAATTCTTAGCGATAAAAGCCCCAATGTCGTCAAGCTCTGCTCCTTCCTTTTCCTTTTTTTTTCTTTCCAATTTTGTAGTTTTAACAATTTAATTATTTTAAACTTAAAAAAATTTAAATTTAAATTTAACAGTGAGTCACGTGCCTAACATGTGACATTTAGACAGAAAATTAGATGAAAACTAACGGCAGGGGCTAAATTGACCATTTAAAATAATTCAATGGCTAAATTGGCTGAAAAAATAATTCATGGTGGACATTTCGACAGTCAATATAGTTCATGGGGTATTTGGCAGTTTACCCTTAAATTATTTAGGGCTTTGATTAGGGATGAATTATTATAAGGCTTTAATTTGAGATTTTATTAAAATTGAGTATTTTAGGGTTTAATTATGGATGAATTATAATTTTTTGTTTGATATTGTTGAGATGCTATTATGGGAATTTGTTTTATTTTTTGTTGGTATGTTTGGTTAAAATTTTTTATATATATTATTCTTAGGATATCTTTTATTATGTTGAATCACAATCGAAATCCCAAGAGAACAAAAAATTTGTTGTCTTTTTTTAAGAAAAAGAATTATGGGTCATCATCTAGTACATTGGCTTCTAACACTTCTTTATCTACTCCAATATGTGATGAGCAAAATCTTCCTGAGTCTCTCATTGTTGAGCCTCCAATTGAAAGAGCTGAATATCAAAGAGTTGATGATGATCATAATTTTAATATCAATTATCTTGAGCATGATCCAGGATTACGTTGTTTAATATGCAAATATCCTGTGAATGAACAAGATAATGTGTGAAGAGCATATATTCTTTTTGGATCATGTCAACCTGAGTTAGAAGATTATCCAAGTTACTTAGAAGGGTGGGACTTTCGTCGATTTAATAAAAAGTGACCAATTCACTTGGCTTGAATATTCAGTTGCTGAGAATAAGATATTTTGTTTCCTTGCTTCATTGTTGACATGAATCTGTCAAAACCAACCTTTATTGTTGATGGGTATAAAAAATGGAAGAGTGGTGGGAATCAATGTGCATTTCAACATCATGGAGGCAAGCTAAATTCACCAAATCATCTTGCTATGCAAAAGTGGATTGGCCTAAAACAAACTCATCTCTTCATATTGAAAAAGTGGTAGATAAGCAATCAAAGCAATTTTATACTAAAACTCAAGATATTGTAAGTGCTTTAAATTTTGTTGAAAACACAAAAATGGAACTTCAAGATATGAGGGAACATGGTTGGGATGATTTATTCATGAGTACGATGTCATTTTGTGAACTACATGGTGTTAATGTTCCTGATATTGGTGCTCGTTATATGACGGGCACACATCGTTCTTGTCAACAAAAATATATTACAATTGAGCATGCCTATTATGTTGATGTATTTAATGATGTTATAGATTGCATGTTGAGGGAGTTAAATGATAGATTTCCTGAGCAAACAGTTGAACTTCTTACCTTTAGCTCATTATATGTTGGATCCTCATAATTCCTTCAAGTCATTCAATATCAAGCATATATGTAAACTTGTCAAGAAATTCTATCCTGTTGATTTCCTTCCGCATGAGTTGAAAGCTTTAGAAATAGAGCTCAAGTATTTTCAAAATGATATACATCGTCTTCTTTATTTTAAGGAAATCACTACTCTTCTTCACTTATGTCAATAATTGGTGGAAACAACTTTGAAAAAAAAGTACATTTTCCTTGACTAGTTGATTTGGCTGGTGTTGAGTCTTCCTTTTTCTACAGCAACAATAGAACAACTTTTTTTTTTTTGGTCAAGGTAACTTTATTCATTAACAAAATGAGGAAAGCTCAATCTTAATGCAGCCTAACACCAACAAATAAAGCAGGCCCAACGATACAAAACCAAATAAACAACAAAAGCCCATAAAACATTATAATAATAATAAAAAACCCTAGATCTAGAACATAGGAGTAGCCGCACTACATAGCAAGCCAACAACACCACTAGAACAGATCCACCACCACCAAAGAGGAGCAACTGATACCAAGGGGTATCAAAGATGCTAACGGAAGATAAGGGTGAGCAACCCACCTGTGCAGAAGCACTCCTATAATCCAAGATTCAAGTGTAGTATGCACTGTAATCGCATCCTCGAACCACCATAGACCACTTAGGAAAAACAACGGGAGCGATAGACACGGAATCGAGGAACAAAGGGTGGTGGTTAAGAACTGGTGACCTAACGGAATCACTGGCCATGGGTGGGCGACATCACAACAAAGGAGAGATAAGGAGAGTGTAGATGTAAGAAGTGGAAGGTGAAAAGTGAAGGTTGTTGGGGGAAGAAAGGAGAGTGAGAGATGGAAGATATAGGGTCTTACAGGGTGGGCTTAGATTAGGGAAAAGCGAAAAAAAGCTAAATAAAATAGAATTGGAGGCAAGGAGCCCCAAATCTAAGACAAAGCTAAGGGAAAAACACCCATTTAGGGTGGGGAGAAGCCAGGGACTCTTAAAATGGACCAGGAGGAGGAGGAGGAGGAGGAGGAGGAGGAGGAGGAGAGCTCTTGGTAAAGTGACTTTTCCTGAACGAGCTTTCTCATGCATGAGATTTATTAAGAATCAACTTCGAAGCACCTTAGCTGATGAATTTCTTGTTAACTGTATAATCCTCCACATTGAAAAAGAGTTTGCTAATAATATCGATAATGCATCGATAATTGAGGAATTTAAGAGTTTCAAGCCTCGCAGGGTGAAATTTTAGATTTGAATAGTGTTGTTTTGAATTGCACTGCATTTATTTTGGTTTTAGTTTTAGATTTTGTATTTGTTGAACTTTTATTTATGAATAAAGATGCATTTGAGAGTAAGGCTCATCATGTTCCCTCAACTAGGTGTATCTTTTTATGTTTATTAATGAAATTCACTCATACCGTCGAGTGTAGTATGTAAGTTTTGCCTACTCGATTT